TCAATTTCTGGCAAGAATTTAATTTCTGGAGCAGAATGGTTACCATTCGCACCCTAAGACACGGCTTCAATTCCACATAGCTAGGGCATACTAGACGGGACATGAAGGGCTCGATCCATGCGGACCCGGAATCACATAACATAATCCCTCATATTCCGCATGCAGAACATAGAAAGCCGTTCGTTCTCAATTCTCCCCTCGCGAGCGAAACCACACATGATGATCCGAATCGTAAGACAGGCTTCGCTAAAACGTGCGAGATTTTTCCGGTTTCTAGGCAGCAATCAAGGGGAGGAAACATGCATGCATTGTCGTCCGCGTCGTTTGTAATGAGCAAACCAGAGAGATGTTTCGAGTACGAGAGTGAAGTGACGGAGTGCGGACCAATAGGCTTTGTCGCATGCAGTGTGTGCTCGCTCATGTGCCAACAAAGATGATGGAAAACCTACGTGCGTCGACCATCGGTTCTTTCTTCCTTCTTTGCTTTGGCTTTTGCTTATTCTTCTGCGCCCGTCTGCATAAACAAAAAGGAAGAAGGAAAATCTAAGCAGAATCTTGCCTAGTTGCAGCAGCCCCCTAGAGGCTCTAGATAGCGAGATGCGTCCCAGGATTGTTCTCCACTATCTTTACCTATACGCGCATGCCAATTTAGCTTCTTCTTCTTCTTCTTCTTCTGAGATACATATGATAGAGAATTTGCGCCACGTTTAATTAAAATCAATTAGGATCTTCCTGGAGTGAAAACGGCTGACAGAAAAAACGTAGAAATGGTTAACTGGTACGGCCCGAAAGGCAAAATGTTGAGTATGTCTGGATCTATCGCAACTCGAGCTAGCTAGGGCGGGTTTTCCATTGGAATGTGCCATGCGAGGGGGGCAATGCACCTGGTGGTAGTAAGTAACTCGACATACTCTCACTCGAGTCTTAGCTAGATTGATTATTGCCGTCGCAGCTGCACCACCATCCCTGGTACCTCGCTCTCGCTCTCGCTCTGCGCGAATAGTGGGCTCGGTGAACGCTCACCAACGCATCCTCCACTATCGCCACTAATGGCTGCCACCGGCCAACCACGCAACTTCCACTTATGGCATATGACCACAGCGGCACTATCCAATGACATCTCTCTCTCTCTCTCTCTCTCTCTCTCTCTCTCTCTCTCTCTCTCTCTCTCTCTCTCCGCCACTGTCGATCTCTGTCCTCTCCCCCTGAATCTTCTGGCGCCACCCATCATCTCTATGTCTCTCCTTCCTGATGTCGTGGTGCCCTGTCCCAGATTTCAAATCGAGGCAGTTAATATGAGGAACATCGATGCCACGGTGGGAAGTAGTCTGCAGTGGTTGCACGCAACGGCTCCATGATGGTGGCTAGTGGTTGCTTGTGGAGGATGTACTTTTCTAATTGATGTGAAATTGATTATCGTGTGGCAATTTTTTAGTGGAGAGTCTATGCAAAATTGAATAGACCCGAGGCTACCCAACATTCTAGGGAAAATTAACCAAAAAAATCCTAAACATATTGTATTTGTGCAAATTTAGTCCTAAACATTTTAATTTGGCCAATTTAATCATAAACCTTTTGATAATTTGCCAATTTAATCTTTTCGGCCAATTTTGGCCGGAAATCGTTGACGGGGACGCCGGCAATGCCATGTAGGATGACCGATGCTAACGTGGACAATTTTTATAATTTTTGTAAAATTTGCTTTTTATTTTATTTTATTTTATTTTATTTTTTCTTTCTGTTCCATTTTTTTTCTACGAAGTCTTGCGAGGGTCAACAGCTAACACTCGCCAGTCACATGTGAGGGCCGATCAACCTTCGCCGACCCCAGGCGAGGGCCGGCGAGGGCTTCACGGCCCTCGCTAGGCTTAGAAGAAGAAAAAGGAAAAGAAAAAAGAAAAAAATTTCATAATATTTTTAAAAAAAAATTTATAAAATTGTCCACGTTAGCGCCCGTTGTCCTTCGGGTGTACCACATCAAGGATTTCCATTCAAAATTAGCTAGAAAGACTAATTTGGCAAATCGTTAAAAGTTCTGGGATTAAATTGGTTAAATTGAAGGGTTTGGGATTGAATTGGTACAAGTATAATAAGTTTAAGATTGTTTTGGAAATTTCCCCCAACTTTCTACGCAAAGTTATTTTTCAAAGATTTAAGAGAAATACTTATGTAACGGTCCTTAATCTACCATGAGAATAATAACATGTTTTAGATCATAAAAAAAGTAAATAACAAATAATTATAAATTATTGTGAAATTCACTTATAATTCATAATATATTGTTACTCTCACTTTCACGGAGGCTCAAAGACCGTTATATTAGCAAAGTTCGAGATTTAACTCTCGGATTCTTTTTTAAAGGGTGTGTCAGAGTAGCTAAGATAAGACAAAATGGTTGACCACATATTTTTGATCCGTACCGAAAGTATCTTCAAAGAATCCGATTGCGATGCGTAATCGTCTGAGCCCCAAAAAAGCAGAGGAAGAGAGAATTTAGAGAAGAATTTCTTTTTGACTTTGCTCCTCCAAGTGGATGTCACAATCCCTAAGTCGGCCAATAATGCAGTCGTCAAGCGTATCAAACCTCTTATGGAGCGCTGCGAGAACGTGCCGCATAAAGTTCATCTGCTTCACGTCAACTTTCGCACGCTCGTCGCTTCATATTTATCCGATTGTTGTCCTAATTTAACCTGTCCATAATCTTTAGAAATAAGGGAATTGGATCCTCATTTCCTCGCATGGCGGAGGAGGGACACTTGACCTCACCGACCGTGCCTCTCCCGATACGTTAACGATTGGAAATGTAGGGTCCCCCGAAAGGCGCTACCGACCGACGCGTCATGGATTCCTTCTGGGGCACGGTCTCTCCCCCGTGCATGAAGGTTCAATGAGGACAAAACGCGAAGCGCATGTGCCTGTTCATCCCAACAGCGATTCAATCTTAAGAAAGAAGAACCATGTAGATAATAATGGTGGCCAGGCCATCAACCCAATACATCTTGTCGGAGATTGAAACTTTCCTCGACGAGGATGTCCGTCCGGTTTTCCATGTATGGACGAGCAGGGAAATCGTGACAAGAAGAAAGCGAAGATAGGGGGGGGAAAGCAAAACCAAAAGTACACAAGAAAACAGAGATTGGAACAAAGAAAAGGGGTGATTATTCTCATTGGGTACTTTTAGTTTTTGTTACATACGGCAGAAAACGACTCCTCTCGAGGACCCCCCCTCCCTCTCCCCCCTTCGATTCTGATTTTGAATTGTGGGGGGGTGGAAAGGGGTCGAGATATTATTCTCCAAAGAGACGTGTGCTTCACCGTACAAGAATGATGGGAGGAGAATCTTGTGGATGAGGAGGGAACACAAAGGCCGTAATGAGACCTCAACATCCTAATCATGTTCGCCCCCATCATCTTAAACAAAGGGGGATTGAAACACTGGAGGAAGGACCCCCTCCTTTGACAAAAAAAAAAAAGACCATTCCAATCTGCCAGCTGTGGGATCTCCAAAAGCAGATTGAATTATTGACCAAAACAAAAATTGGGAATCATAGTTGGAACGACGCCAATTCGTTTGGGGGGAGGGGAGGGGAGAGGGTGTGGTTTTGTGGTGAGAATTGAGATAGTGGTGACAAATTTGGTGGTCCTAGAGAATAATACTTACATGGGTCATAACAATAAGCATGACTATACATGCCATTGCTATCGTATCGATTTAGTTTTGAATGTGGGTTTTTCATAAGGAAAATGACACATATGCTTTATAATCTTTGACCCGATGTGCAGTGTAGTTTCTAAACTTTTAATTTGTTCAATGTGGTCTCTGAACTTTAGCCAATTGCGCAATATCGTCCTTGAATTTTTAATTTGTTTAATGTGATTCTTGAATTTTTTGTACGTGTTCAAACCGGTCCTTAAACTATATAAAATTGTTTCAATGTTGGTTGTCCCTGAAATAAAATTAAATTGAATGATAATATTAGATATTTTCATATAGTCTAAGGGATAATTCGAACATTTATAAAAGATTCATGGACCACATCGTACAATGAGCCAAAGTTTCAAGGATCAATTATATCATTATCCTTATGATGTCTTGCTGCATGATTGAAGTAGATGAAGGTACGTATTGAGGAAGAAAATGGTCCATGCGATGACCCATGTTGGATCGTTTTCCCACTTGAACGTGGACAGTTCTTGGGATCTCGATTCATCCTGAAATTTTACACTGTTTAGGGTTACTGAACATTAGCACTCGAGTCAAACGTGGGGTCTTTGGTGCCACCCCGATCATTATCATTCCTCATTTGCCTTTTTAGTACCCGATCTTTGTCCGAACCCCGATGACGAGACGAGGCATGTCACGTCTGTTTTTCGGGTTGCGGGGTGGAGAATTGGGATCTTCTCTCCTCCTCTTGCTGGGAGAGGATATTTTTGTTGTTTCTAGAATCCCTTGCTCAATTATTTTTTTATTAATGGAAAGAAAGAGAAGAGGTTGCCCCCTATGATGTTAATCAAAGGACGATGCATCGTGTGCATTTGTGGACCTTGAGTAATTGATTGTTCAGTTTCGAGATGCTGACATGCTGATGTTTTTAGCCTTGTTGTTACTTACAGAAGCATCATCAATCATAAATGGATGGAGTTGAATGAGATGGTTTGCCCAGAGCCACCTAACGGGCTTGTGCATGAACGTACATTCCAGTGCCACAATGATGTTAGATGGTCCGAGGAATTTATCATTCCAACCTAAACCCATCGACACGTCCGTAGCACATCCTTAGTCGAAGCTTTCCGCCTTTGAGTTTCGCGAAAGAAAAGCTGTGGTCCGTGCGCTCGGTATTATCGGAACCTGAATCAAAAGGTTTAAGTCCGTAACACAGCATGGATGTCAGAAATTAGGAAAGGACCCAATGACCATGCTGTTTCATGAGCAGCACAGGCTAATTGCTGAGCAGAGCACATTGGAAGCGCTCGAGCAAAACACCAGTATCACTAATCTAAAATTAAAATGTACTTTTGATTCCATGAATCCCCAACTAGGGGGGAAAATATTCAAAGAATTGCAAAAATTGATACAGCTGATGTTATCTATCCGCAACATATAATGATAGCTCGCTCTTGAGGCTTTATCCCTTGGCTAGAAAGGCCCACTACGATAAACAAAATGGCAATGTGCTGGGGGCAGCAACCACAGAAGGGGATCAATATTCATTGCCCATTGACCCGATGGCCACTCATGGGAATAGATAGCAAAAGGACTAAGATCAACACGAGGCTCACTCAAACTTCAAGCCCTCTGTCCGTAAGACTCTTCATGGACTCGGACCCCAGGTCCATAAATCAAGCGGCAACGTTCATTGAATGAGCCAACCAGTCGGGCAACCACTTCCTTGAAGAAGACCGACGCCACCTAATGGCAGGAAACCCAAAGACATATTAGCAAGGTCCACGGGCACACACATTATTTTCCAAACGTACAGAAGCTTATGCCAGAGCCAGAAACATCAGAGCTAATGAATGAATCTGATGGACTGCTATTAGTAAATGTAGCAAACTACACTGAACCACCAGAAGAATATGAGCTCATTTAAAAACACTAACTTCGCTGCTTTGGTACGATGGAATCAGGATAATGTGGGAGGAAACCTGACCAAGAGGGATGCAAAATAACAGCGACTGCAGACACTCACAAGTTTAACTGACCATGCCATAGGTATAATGACATAATCATATAACAGAGATAACATACAGCAACAGCAAACAATATTTACATTCATGTAAAAGGACTCAGGACCATAACTGATTGAACTTAAGTGCCAAAGGTTAAACAAGAGTCGTCATGCCATTAAGCCCATGACATTTTCTTATACAGCGTGTCTCATGGATTGACATTTTACTATTTAGTCCACATATGTACTAAGTTCACATGCCTCAACTCCAATGAAGAAGAAAAAGCCATTATACTACTAGTTGTGAATAATTCGCTGGCATTTATCAACAGAAAATCTGGCTTTCTAAAGGCATTAACTAAATTACAAATGTAGAGTCCACAGTGAATGAGCTGGCTGCTCTACTAGCTCACAAAATGAGCAATTTCGTCTTTACCAAATGTGGAACACTGAAAGTTTAAGAGGCCACTACAGCACATTAGCAGAAGAACATGCCAAACTTATGGTCTATCTCTATTATTGATAGTACATTTTTTAAAGTCAGCAATCCTGTGATAGCTTGATCTAACTGTGTAACGACCACTCATTATCCCTGCAAATGCCACCTAAGTACGATTCTTTCTGGGACGGCAATTGCAGTTGATATCTTATTGACGATAGCTGCTACTCTCATCTACCCTCGTGAGCTGCACCGCACAACAATCTGCGAGCAACCATAAGATTTTGGTGTTCCCATACAAGGAAAGAATACAGTGGTTTTGCAAATAGAAACATGCAGTCTTTAAATGTATTTGAACATAGTATATGCCAAGAAATACACAAGGCTTTCCAACTAAACTAAGTAATTCATTGTCTGTACAGTAAGAACTACTGCTTCTGACTTCTGAGCACTACAAGTAAATAGTGTAACTTGCTAGAAGTACCTCAAGTTCAGCATTTGTTATGCTCATCAAAAAACCTAAAATTCATAGAGAATGATTACAGAGATAGGAAGTTGATGCAACCACATTAATTACAAGAAGCAACACTACCTGCCGGTAAAGTGGGGACTGAAACTTAAAATCCACCAAAAAGTAAAGGCTACAAGATCCTGGAACTGGTCCTGGATTGAACTCCCAAATATTTATCAAATGGTCAAAAACGGTACTCTCCGATGCTGTCGTCTGGAAAAGAAAGCAGAGAACGGGAAAACATTAGCTCTACCATAAAACAAAACCATATTAGTCAACTCAGAACTTCAACCAAGAACACCAATTGTTAGCAGCTTGAAAACAGACAAATGTTTTCATCAATCCATGCAAGACAAATCATACTTATTTTCTTGCTGGATGAAGGATAAGTATTGGGAGGAGCGAGAAGGGGACTATTCCCAGACTTGTAGATCTTGGTAAGGGTAGGCCATCACTGAACCAAACCGTTTGTTGCCGACGAAAGCTTATCTTGGGACAAGCATCTTTCTGTATTGTGCAAGTTAAAGTATCCACATATGGTGGAACCAGTCAAATTTTCTTATCCTTTTTGTCAAATACTATTGAGAAAGCTTCAATCCTAAATCAACTAAATGAGGCAAGTAAATGACTTCTGTGTCATTGCCAAATATAATGATTCAAAAAACTGAATTTGATTACTTCAGGAACAAAGATTAGAGCAGAAATGAAATTCATCAATATGGCCAAAAAATGAGGAATGGAAAGTCTGATGGTTAATCTTTTTGAAACTCTTCTGCGGGAACTCTCAATAGATTGTGATGTGGACCAAAGCAAAAGTGGACAAAGTGTTGCTTTTAAAACTAGGTAGGAAACTGAAATTTGGCCCATGAAACAGGTCTTCCCATCTGGATATTTAATGAGTTGCATCAAGGTTCTAATTAATGCTTAAGGAAACAGTAATCACAATAGTAAATGCATACAACACAATGCCAATAAAAAACAAACTACGAAGATAGAAATACAATCATTTCTCGAAGCCAAGCAATGTTTAGGCATAATATGTGGGGCAGTGTTTGTAGTGATCAACGATGGAAACCCCTTGTGCTACTGTGTACTCGGCTGGCCAAAATTCAAATTCAGTGAAACGTGTCAATACATACATAAACAGCCGGGATTATAAACGGAGGGAAGAAGATAGCTAGTTGCTTACCTTGATTGTCCTTGGTCTGTTCAACTCTACATGAGAAACATAACTCTCAACTAGAAATTTGAAACCAATCTCCAGCTCAGCATCGAAAGACCCATCCGGATTGTACCGCAGTATCTCCGACCGCTGACACCACGGTACAAACCCATGATACAAGTCGACAGCCGCAACCACGTCGAACAGTTGTTCTGGAGAGTACCTATAGATGAAATTACATCATTCTCCGAACTCGTTCTTGGAGAAAACATCGCGCACACATCAAACTGTAACTATCGACAAATTTAACAGGATCACGGATAAATCGAGAGGGCTTTCCGCGAAAATTACCCCAAAACGCGCTTCTCCTCGTAAACCTTTGCCAAAATGCCTCCTTCCTCACCATCCCCGCATCCCAGGAACCGCCTCCTCTGCATAATGCCACCGCCGCACGGCCGCCCGGAACCAATCGGGACGTCCTTGGGCGCATCGGACGCTTTATTATTACGACCAAACGAGGCATCGAGGCCCGCGATGCCGCCGAGGCACCTGGTTCGATCGAGCCCGGGCCGCCGGGAATCGGTCCAGCGAGACTTGATCAGTCGCCCGACGCCGTCCCCGCGCGACAGGGACGACCTCAGCGCTCTCGACGTCGACAGAAATGGCGGCATTGCGTATTGCGCCCGACCAGGCGAGAACCTCGGCGAATCAAATCGGATCAAGCGGACACCTCCGATCGATTCATTCAAAAACCGAACGGACGGAATCCCGAACGGGAACCGGGCGGTTTCATCCGAGAATGCGGCCGAAGGATCAAGCGGCCACGCGAGAGAAATGAATCCAGATCACGGAGCGGAGCACCTCGAGAGAGACCGAAGCGATAATGGCGGACTGGGATTTGGGGGGAACGAATTTGGGAATTTAGGGTTTGCAGCGATTGGAGGTCGGGTTGGCGAGGGGAAATAGAAGAAGAAGAAGAAGAAGAAGAACAAGGTTGTCTTGGGGAACACGTGGGGAAAGCCAACAATAAATCTAAGTGGCAACAACATGCAAGAAAGAGAGTAATTTATAACAAATTGTTATCTTCGACCAAAAAAAAAAGAATAGTAAATTATTGTCCATGGCAAAAAAATGTTTTCATTAATTAAGGCTCCGTTTATTTTGCGGAAAATATTTTTTAGGAAGACATTTTTCGGCGTTGATTTGCTTAGGAAAATAAGTTAATAGAAAATATTTTTCTGATCAACGGAAAATTTATGCTTAAATTCAGAAAAATGATTTTCTCTTTGAAAAGAGGCAAAAAACACTTTTTCGAAATATGACTAGAATTAACGTTCGGACCTAAAATTCTACACTTGGACACCCCAATGTTAATTCTCGAATCCTCGGCGTTTAGGATAAGGTCTCCAACGCCCCGGCTAGAGTCCATCGAGGCCAGACCCAGGCCCCTAATGCCCACGTTCGGGTCCATCTAGAGCGAGCCCGAAACTCTTGTATTCGTGCCTGATGACTCGGAACCGAAGCCCAAGTGCAGAAAAGTTGTGTCCGGGTCCCTGATGCTCGAGTTCTAGTCCTTGGCACTTGGTCGAGGTCCACAAGGGTCGTGCTCGAGTTCTCGGCTCTCGAGCTTGGGTCCTTAATTAATGAAACATTCGTTCTAATAAAATTATTTCTAAAAAAATTGATTTTATATTTTTCTTTTTATTTATCTTTATCTTTTTTTGCCTTTTCTTTTCCTTGGCCGGAAAAAATAAAAAAATTCGAACTTTTTGGTAGTTTTGCTTGAGGAAAATCAAATCAGATACCAAACAGTGGAAAACATTTTATAGTTCATTTTTAGGTTTTAGTCAAATACCGGAAAATATTTTCATTTTCTTAGAAAATGACTTTCTGAAAAATATTTTCCAAAACCATCAATTTTTCTTGAAACGAAGGAGGCCTAATACTTTGTTTGTTTTGCGGTAAATAAGAAAACATTTTCTTAAAAAGGATTGCTTGAATCGATTGAAATAGTTAGTAAAATATTTTTTTACTACCGACAATAATTTATATATAAATATTTTCGTGGACAATCAAAATTTTTTCCGTTCATTCATTTTTAAAAGCAATGCAAACAACCGTTTTTACAAAAATATTCTCCAAATTCTTTATTTTTCGAGAAACAAACACACGCCATATTCATTTTCAATTCTATTGGTTACTTTAGCAAAGAAATCCAAACATGTTATGTCAAAAGAGATGTCCTCTGTTCTACGGATCACTTCTTTTCCAAAATATCCTACTTTATAAATATCCTAACGAACACGTAAATTAATCATTCTATTTTTTTTAATCATTCATTTCGAACCTTTTCTATCTCATACAATTTTCCGGAAAAAAAGTTCAAATTGTAAAATATAGTTTTCTTTCTACGTGTGCACAACCTTTTTCATATCGCATCGATAATTATTTTAATTAATTTGTAATCCAAATCTCCTACGATAACATGATTTTGTAAAATGTTTTATAAATCAATCGAATGTACGCAACAACATACGTGACTTTGCTAGTGACCGAAGGGAAAGTGGCGCTCGTCTCACTTTTATAGCATTGTTGCGGGCAAAGCCGCGGACAAAAACATATGAATTGGCAACTTTGTAACGCTTCGAGTTGCCAACCTCTCCAAAAACACATACTCACCTTTCACTAAAAGTGTCCTTCTGCAGCAAGGCGATTGTCGCTGTTTTTGGCTTGAGTTTGCAAAGCTTGTCTCAAGAAACCAGGGCTTAACATTGCTACACATAATCCACGAATGATTACTCTCTCTGTTATATAATCGAACGGTAGTAATTTGAGAGATCGGGACATTTCACGGCGACGACATCGCTTGAATCCGACTCCATCACAAAATTAAAACATTCATCGTTCCCGTGAAGCACCGTGACAACAATAAATCAAATCGTGGTTCAGGTAACATTAACAGGTAACACGATGTCCACAGTTCTACAGCATCAATCAACTCAAAAGAGAGAAACGAACTCCACAACCCCTGTTATGTTAGTACAATCAATCACCTTGTTTTCTCCCTAGTCGAATTAGCCCCGACTAACCTGTGTCAGCACATCAATATGTAGAGTTGTACAAGTATATAGGATCGTGTTCCTAACCCTTTGCCCGAGTGGGAATATGCACCGTGCACCTCTTGTCAGAGAGGTAAAAAGAGCAACCCCCAACACCAGGTTCTCGTCTCTAGAAAATTGAATCCTCTCGCTTTCTCACGAGCATGCAGATGGTGCATGCAATCCAAATTCACGTTACTTGTTGACACATTAGGGCGCGAGAAAAAGAGGATGTTCCCCAAGCCTTCATGGTAGAAATCCTTCATCTCGATGAGGAGGCCCATTTCTCACCGGCGTCTCCTGCTGTGGCAGGTCTGCTGAACGGAACAACCTTGTAAACCAGGTAAAATATATGTAAGCTGGGGAGTCCAGTCCTTAGCGACTGGTATAGAATTGAAATTTACCTGGTCATTGTCCGAAGAATCTGTCCCCGAAGTTTTTGCCTTCTTTGCACTGCACATGTTGCTCCCCTTTCTTCCTCCTATATCTTCATCCACAAAGTTTTGATCCGTAACCTCTGCAAAAACCAAAAGCATTAAATCCAGCCAAAGGCAGGTTCTACGACTCTACATCTCTCCGTTTCTTCTTTTTCATCAATACCAAGCTAAATGGGTTTTAGTATGACTGTAGTGAGCACTTCACCAGTCATGAATCACATAACAGTACATTTTAAAAGGGAAGAGTGTAAATAACTGGCAAAAGATTGCCAAACAATTACAAAGGGCTAAGACCATTGCATTTTTTTTTTTCGTGGGTATAGCTTGCCGTTTTGATTAGACAGCTGAGACTATTACAAAGGACAAGAGTGCACGGATATAGCTTGCCGTTTTGATTAGACGAAATTATAGGACATGTTTATTCAGCTCGATAGTGGATAACTGGCGATATTTTGACAATTTTGAATTCAGAAGTTCACATTTTACATTCACAAGTTAGATTACCCGTCTCTCATCTGAACACTCTAAGCTGCACTCAATCGTAAGAAAGGCTAAAATTTCTTTCGTAGTCGTAAGAGGAAAAAAGAAAGATCAGTTCCAGCAAGTCTGTCAACATTAAAATCTCAAATTGCGTTCATCAGTTAAAATCTTCCAAAAGATGGCTTTGCTTTGCCTCCTTGTATAAGAGCAGTTACATCTACAGTTAGAACATAGTAAATGGTACTCATAAAAACAACGAGAACCACAACCATTCATTGTGCACACGTATGGCGAATGCGAGTAAAAGAAAAAATCATTTGACACATACATCAGAAATAACATGAGCACCTGCATTGCCGTTATCGATTTGATTGCCAAAGTAAGAGTGGCATGCGTGAAACTGCTCTGAATTTCCAGCTGATGCATAGGCAAGAGCCTTTTTCCCTTTTCCACTGGATGTTTGGTAATTAGGAGATCCCGACCTCAGGACTCTAGAAGCAGGTCGAAAATGCTGGATCCATGGACTTTTTAGGAGATCACGTGAACCATCGGCTTTCTCTACCTGCAAGTCAGGTCTTTCAAAGTTGATCTTCTTCCAACTGCCATCTCTAAGAACTTTGAACTGGATATAAGAGCGAGTAAAGAGCTCAGTAAAAACAGCAAATGAGATGCCATTGAATAGTAAGAAACGAATATCGCCCATCTCATCGGGTACGTATCAATTCGAACCTGGCCAGAGGGTGCATAAGGGTGCTGTTTGTTCGATTGCCTGGTTAGTGGATCCACGAAGTTTGCTTTTTCCAAGTGCCAACCAAGCAACTCCATGGAATCGTACAACTGGTCGACGAAGGTAGCCTCCATCGATTTGAGATAGAGACTGTGTTTCTCATCTGTCCATTCCGTGTTTGAGGAATCCGTGCCCGGAAGGTCCTGAAAAACAATCGCCACCAATTTCAACTAGCTCAGTAGCTGCTTATTAATAGAAAGATGTTAACCCCCCACTGACGGGGATAAGCAATTCTTTAGCTTCTCTTCCTCCCTTGAAGGGGAGACGAGGACAAGCCAAACAGGATTAGATCATAAGCAACTCAAAATTTTCCTTTTTTTGTTTTTTTGGTATCATAGCTCATATTCGCTGCCTGCTCTCTACAATCAGATGTTGCGGTCTATGGGTTGTAATGGTAAACTTTAGCTCGTGAAGGGGTCTCCCTCGCGTAATCGGATTCCAATCTACCTCAGCCTCAAATTCATCAAAAGGACAACGGGCGGTCGCAAGCAGAGAAGAAACGTAAGCACACGGTCTATATTTCATTACAAAATAGGAAAAACTCCCTCTTGAAGAACTTAAAAAGACCGGGCACAGCTCGCTGCAATGCCATAAAATCGCGATCTGCTGCTCGCACCACAGACGTTGAAGCAGCGGTCTCTCTTTCCAACAGAATCGAAACACGAACACAATCCTCCTCAAGACAACAGCGACAACATGCTCATAAAAACCCGCCACCAGAGGCAATGGACGAGATCAAGAACCCACCGATCGAACTCGAATCGGCGCCAGAGAATCGAAACCCTCCGGCACGGATGTCCGTCTCGAAAAAGGGTGGGAGGGCTCGAAATCAAGCCGAACCCACAGCCACGGCGCGAAGTGTCCGTAGAAGAAGAAGAAGGACCAAAAACAGAAGAGGGGCGAACGACAAAAAGAAGAAGAAAATCGACGGGCGGGAGGAGGAGGAGGGAGGAGGGGGAGAGGGAAAATGGCGATCGTACCGGAATCATGGGTTCACGGTGAGGGAACTCGCTCGAGGTTCCCGAGCTCGTCCCGGAGTAATCGGTCCGGCGAGGAGCTTCCATTGCGACTGCGACGGAGACGACGGCGGCGGCGGCGGCGGCGGCGAGGAAGCCTTAGAGAGAGAAGGAGAGGGGGGGGGGGAGGGAGGATTTGGGGAATTTCGGTTTTTCGATGGAAAACGGGATGGTATTAAGCGGAGGAGGAGGAGGAGGAGAAGAAGGGCATTGGGGGGGTGGGGAGATGGCGATACAGTTGTCACCGCTTTTTTACACGTGTCAAGGGACCGGCAGGCGCCACGTCACCGGCGATGATGAGCTCAAGGCCAGATATTTTCGGCCCCCCAAAATATCTTCGGCTCCTCCCTCCCCCTTGCTTCCCTCATAACAATAATAATAATAATTCGAGGCTCCTGCTTACGTGGCGGCGGGGCGGCGGGGCCCGCACCCCCCGCCTCCGCCCCACTGGTTCCGCGCGCTTTTCTCTCCTCCCCTCCTTTTTTCCACCTTTTTCTTTTGTTGTTGTTGTTGCCGTTTGTTTCGCGTCGCGTGTCGCGTCACATGGCGAAATAACATGGAAAGCCCCGTGAGAAAATTCCAGGAGAGTGAAACGAGTTCTTCTGCTCGTGAACCGGAGGAACCCCCCCGGCCCTCCCCGAAGCTACACAGATCTTCTGTTGACTGGGTAAAAACCAACCCGCTCGGAAACCGCGGGTCGTCTCGTCCCCCCGCCGCACGCGCCGGGATGGAGATTGAGAAGAGTGCCGTGACGGAAGATCGAGCCCCGCGTCCCGGAATGTCGGGATTGAAACCCGTGCCACGACGGAAGACCGAATTGTCGTGCCCCTGCGAAACGAGCGGTGCCGGCCTAAACCGTCCTCCAGGAGGTTTTCCTTTGGCGGCATCCAGAACATGGACTTTCCCACTTCCTACTTTTCTCTTATTGGAGTAATTACAAATGTTGAATCGCCCGGTGTTTTTTTAGGTGCATGAATATCATCATATCGCCATGCTCGAACAATTTCGACCTAAAATACCGAAGCAAGAAATCTTGTGTTGTTGTTGTCAAATTCCACATTTCAACATCGATTCGAAACCTAGCGAATGCGAAAGAGCACCCGATCAAATTCCGCGGCCAATAATGATATTCCATCGTGATGCGAGGAGAATTTTCCGGATTGAAATTAGCACCAATTAAATAGAAAAAGAAAAATACGAGCAGAAAAAAATAATTATTCATTATTTCCATTCATTCCAGCCATTCATGAAGTGAAGAAGTTCATGCTAGTCTGCTGCATTCAGATTTTCAAGCAATCATAAAAAAGCCTACTAATTACAGCTGGCTGAAGTACATAACATATAAGCAAAAACTTAATCGGTAAAATGTTGGCTATATTATATGATTTGATCATGCTCAAGAAAACGAATTCCCAAAACTTTTCTTTTTGTACAACAAACGCGCTCATTAGGCCAGATACAGTCAAGGCCAGAGAGAAAAAAATAAAACTACAACATCAAAAGCTTTTAAGCTCCCGTTATTCGAATTCTTACATTGTCGTCACGAACGAATGGACCACGATGATAGTTGTTCTCCTTTTTCCCTTATCCCCATTACCAATCGTTTACGGAATGAGTAGAATTTGCGAGTCAATCTTCCAGTCTTTGCTCGTCCCCGGATGTTTCGTTTTCCAGCAGTTCCATCTGACCTGAGAACGAGCCAAAAGATATTTCAGAGGAACAGGTGATTTGATAACCATGATCGGTGTGGGCGCTTTCTCTTAAGGTAAAGTTTGATATTGGAAGAATAATCAAGCAACAGCGGCGTCATATCCTACCTAACAAGGATACTAGAGATGGGGTCCTTGAAACTCCCTGCGATCTCAGGTCCGCACCTGCAGTCCGCGTCAAAATGTTGAAGTTCGTTTGGTTTTCTGTATGGAAAACTGCGATCGCTTCACATAAATACATAAACGCTCAAGTACAGCATACCTGAACTTTCGAGCGAGTTAAGAACATCTGATTTCTTAAATGTAAATCCCATGAAGTTAGTGTCTTTTGATGTCAGCATCTGCAAAATCAGTTAAAAAGCCACCCCTCATCCTCATGTGATGTCAAAGTGATAACCGATCCAGTGGACCAAATGAAAGCTTAACAAAATAAATCGAGCAATGAATCATCGTTTAAATGCATTTGCCCCAGGTTTAGAGTGGGGGCGGGGTGTTAATGTTTAACAAAGTTCCTTTACTTCGGATGGTAATCAAGCAGTGTGAGGTGGAATCATTACCTTCCGCCAAGGTCCAACAGTTGGCGTTGAAGATGGCGGGCCTTCTACCTAGGAAGGTCAAAATGCGAAAGTCTCAGCCAAAACTCACATCAAAACAGAAAGATACGTCGGGATAAGTCTCGATAAATATTATGCAAAAATTGAGATTCCCAAGGAATTCTCAAATGTCTGAAGAAGTTAATCAGTCGATTAGGCCTACTGCTAAAACTCAGAACAATTTTGCTGTTCGACATACACCTTATGAAATTTGAAATTAGATCAAAACCATCCAAAACGACCCCGTGTCCTGAAACATAAAGAATAAAACAGAAATTGCAGCCGAGGGTAGCAAGAGACCCAGATACTTGTTCACCCATACTTGTTGCCTACTTTACTAACGTCAAAAGCGGGAAAAATTCAAGGGTCCATATCTAGCATGGAAGACTGATAAATCAACAGCCTATGTCAAGCCATTAAAGCTTTGATTTAGCAGCATAGCAATAAAGCTATGTTGATCCTGATCCAGACAGGAAAGTGAAATTTATTTCAGTCTTCTGTAGATATTTTATCTCATTCAGCATGGCTGAGTTTGATAACCTTGACAAAGTAAAACGGGTACTCACTTCTGGAAACTTCTCAAAATTCTGAGTGTCCAATTCCCCGTTAACGGTAGGCTTATATGCAGCTTCCATCTCATAGAGCATGTCCCATTGAACAGATTTGAACCATGGATGTGCCTGAAAAGAAAACTTGCAACAAGCATAAACACAATTGCAATTGCAGGCCAGAATGCCGGTGCAAAGTGGTTGTGGTTGTGGACATATTCTGCAGAAAGTGCAAATTTACATTTTCTCCATTTAGGAAGGAAAAAAAGAGTGTCAAACTAGCAAAAAGTACAGGCAATTTCTTCTACCGTGTGAAAGAAAGAGCATTATTCTGCAAGTCACCTTTATTTCCTCCACTCCTCCAGTCCCTAGTCTTGTTTCAACGTCACATAGCAAGTGACAGATTAAATCCTTAGCCTCTTCTGAAATCTTTGGTTCCTCAGGGAACTTCAGGCATGCTTTCCAATTAATAATCTGAGGCAAAACTTAATCATTGAGTACTCTGCGTATGTCCTTGGAACTCGTAACCAACCAAAGGTAATAGTGAAATCACCTTACGGCAAGTGATCCTAGGATCATCAGAACAGAAGGGAGGATAGCCTACAAGCATCTCATACATGATTGCACCCAATGACCACCAATCGCACTCCATTCCATATCCCTTTTTCAGCAGTACCTCAGGTGCCATGTAGTCAAGAGTTCCAACAGTAGAATATGCCTGTCGATGTTATACATAAAACTACATAAGCCAAATAGATATTAAATTAACAAATGGAATGCTTGGCATTACTTCATGAAACCGGAATATGACTAAGATGGACAACAAAAGTTAGAGGACACAGAGATGAGAGGATACCAATGCACGCCGATTACGTTTCCATCGTAGCAATTGCTCTCTTGGCATCAACCAAGGCGCTGCATCAGCACCAGAGTGTCCACCGGATCCACTTAAATTTTCTTGAGAGGTTAAACCTTCATCTTCTAACAAAATTGTAGAATACTTCTCATCTAGAGGTTTACACAAACCAAAATCAGAAAGCTTCAAGTGGCCATTTCTGTCCAGTAACAGATTGTCTGGTTTAATGTCCCTACATGAAGGAACTTGCTCAGAAGTGTAGTTGGTAAAAGAGAGACTATCTTTCTATTGAGATTAAAAGAAGTACCTATAGGCTTAGGGTTAAGCCTTGTATAATTACATAAATAACCCCAACTTGCTAAACTGTAGAATAATAAGTAATAACCCAACAAGAAGAAACTCGGAGTTTCATTTCTAGCTCAAGAAGCTGAATGCAATCATATACATGTTGAAACACAAGTGAAGTTGTTCAACGGTCAACTGTCCACCTCAGAAGAAAAAGAAACAGAGAGATAGAAAGGCTAACACGAGTATGATCTATCACTAAACAGCAGCACAAATAAAGTTGGAAAGAGTTCATTAGAACTGAAGCAGTGGCAACAGGATAGCATCATGAAATGATAGATCAAGATTAGTAATGAAGAATGTAATGGTGACAATACAAGGGCTCATTGACATGCCAAGCACTAGCCAGCGTGGTGTTCTGCATGAAGAAGAGACTAACGGTACTGAATCTTTTGACTTTCCCTCATTGGTTTAATATGAGAAAATACGTAGAATGATAATGGTAAGATTCTTCTTAAGGAGTGCATTGAGGAGAAGAAGCTGCAAACAGCTCTCCCACTTTACTCCTTCAAACGGATTCGAACAGACAAGAACATTCCATTGAGAAAAGCAGTAAATAATCATCTGATGCTGGTAAATCGAATCATTCACCATGGTCGATAGCTTACAAACCACTTGATCACAAAAAAAGACAAGTAGCCATCCATTTCCAATTGCAACACTAGGTGAGTTTAGCTTGGAAAAGACATTCTCCGAAACTGTGGGTCCATAAACTCGTGTAATAAATCCATATGTATATCCTTTTCTCTGCTATATTTATTAAGAGAATTCAATTTTTCAACTTCTCTGGACTATAAGCAAGACTATATGTAAGCATATAACTATCCAATGCCACACCTCACTCCGATTAAAATTTTGGCACTCCTTAGCATCCAGTACTATATATTACCAGATGTGAAAGCTGAAACATATTCATAGTCATGACAAGTTATTATGTACCCGGAATTTTAAAGTAATACCTGTGCACATAATTATGATGATGAATAGAGTGGATGGCTAGAATACTCTCTGCTATGTAAAACCGTGCAACATCTTCAGAAAGAATGTCTTCTCTCATCAACAATGTCATGATATCACCACCAGGTAAATATTCCATGATGAGGTATAAGAATTCCGAATCTTGAAAGGAATAGTAAAGCTGAACAATGCACCGACTATCAACCTCCACAAGTAAGTTCCTCTCGGAACGAACATGCTCAACCTAATCACACAAACAATCATGATTAAAGAATCGAAGCACAAAATGCGTTAACACTACAAAGCAACTAGTCCCAAGATTATATAAGCTAGAACATACGACTCTCTGAGAACCAGTATGTAATAGAGAAAGGATTCAGAGAAATAAACCACATCAGCTATTTGAAGAACAAATCATTAGATTAGTAACTGAAACAAGGTTATGGGTACGGCTCAAAGAAGAGAGCGAAGAGGAAAAAGCTAAAGAAATACAAAAGTAGCAAACTGTAGGATCCAATAACATGTCGCTTAAGATGTTCACCTGTCCACGGCTAAGCATCTCGGATTTTTTCAACTTCTTCATGGCATAGACCTCTCCTGTATTCTTTGCACGACATAGGCTCACCTGCATCGGTTGAATGTAGCTGATAAGAATAAGGAACATATGCTAAAAAGGAAATACTCCTAAACTTTTGTGGAAGAGAAGCGTAGGGAACTCATCATAAAACAACTACTCTATACACAAATCAAGTCAGTGCTGAGTCAGCCACACCGGCTAAAAAGCAAATCAAAGCATATCCTCAAGCGAATATCGAAAACAAGACAAAAGTATCATTTGCATGTACCTCACCAAATGCGCCTTTACCAATGACAGTTAAATGTTCAAAGTCATCCAATCCCACTTTACGTCTTTGCAACCTCATGTACGCTGTCTCCTTGCGCTCTAGATTTCTCAGCATTTCCTGCTGCTCCTCGCTAGACACCTGAGCTTCTTGTGCTCTCCTTTGGAGAGCTCGCCGTCTAATCCGCAAAACCACAGAATTAATTAGTATGCTCGCCGTACTACGCCGCCATTTATTCACCCCCCCCCCCGGGGAAGAGGATCTGTGTAATATAGGCCCATGCCTTATTGCGGAAAACAGAGATTCTAGGCTTATACATCCTGGATCTATCTAATCGGGTAAGTCTCAGATTTGCATACAATATTGCTTATAGTATCTTAAATCGAGTCGAATGCGAAAAGAAGGCATGTTTATATCAAGTTAATCCGTTTCACACAGAAGAGTCAAGCTTATATCGCTCTCTAAGAAGCTAGGAAACCAGATTAATTGGTGATTTGCATTAATGAGTCCAGACATGGAGCGAGACCTCCTTAATCACTACCATTTCTAGATGAGAGATATAAATGCGACATTCACGCAACTAACGAATCCAAGTCTCAGTCAGAGCAGAGACCAGTAAAGGACCGCCAGCAATGAAACGCTAAAGAATATCCTATCGACGCCACTGCCAAGAGCAGTGGGCGGCGGACGATCACGAAGCCGAAAACCGATGCGGTCGGTGGAAGCGAAGCGACGGAGAAAGCGCACAAAACGAAGAATCAGGCGAGGATCAGGGAACGTTCGAATTCGAGGTGGGAGATCGCCAAACCTGTCCTTGCGATCCTGCAGGCCCTGGAGGTAGTTCTTGTAGTGGTTCTCGATGAACTGCTTGGCGGCGGCCGCCTTCTGCCGCGTCACCGGCGACGACACCCCGACGTCCTGAGCCAAATCGAGCGCCCGGTCCGGCCTGAAGCTGAGCGCCCCGAGCCTCACCGTCCCATCCCCGCCTCCGCCGCCGCCGCCGCCGCCGCCCCCGCCGTCCATTCCCGATCGCGGATCAAGCCGGAACGAGCTCGGAGGACGCGACCCGGGGCAACCGAACCGATCACGGGGACAGCATGTCGAATCTGAGGGGGTAGCTCGAGGAGGGAGATCGGGATTGGGGTACGCTGCAACGAGCAGTCTAGAGAGAAGGGGGGAGGGAGGGGGATGAACTGGCGCGTATATATATATATATATAGGAAGGGGGCGGCGACTTGCTTGTGATCTGGTGATGCAGAGCACCGTGCTGGTGGAGTCGCGAAAGCTAGAGATAGAGAGAGAGAGAGAGAGAGAGAACCGGGGGGGGGATATTTTATTCGGGCTGTCTGGCTTTCTGGTGCGCTTCTCGGGAATGGAGTGGGATGGACGCCATCGTTTAACTCGCATGAACTGGAATCTCGGAGGCGCACCGCACCACACAGCACAACAGGAGGAGTGGGACTGACTTTGAAGCCAGCAGCTGAAAGAGTCAATTTCTAGAGAGAGAGAAAGGGAGGGGAGAGAGTGAGAGAGAGGGGGTGGGGTGACTTTTTTGGCACGGCGCCTGTACTGTGTCGGCGGAGATCTATAGGAAGGGAAGCCCCGACAAGATGATCTTCCGTCGTTCCTTCCTTCTCTCGTTTTCGGTAAATTCTTTGTTCTTTTTGGGGTAATTGCTATTCGGTCGTGATTATCACCCCGGCGGCGGTGCAGACCGACTTTCTCCGGGGCGGAGCTCGGGAGGGAGGGAGGCGGGTACCGGCCCGTGAAAATGCCGACCCGACCCAACCCGGAAATGGGCGTTTCGTAGAAAAAAATAACAACACCGGGCGGGAGTTGACGCATGGAAAGAAGCTAGAGAGAGAGAGGGGGGGAGAGAGTCTTCGCCCGAATCAGAGTCTCGGTGAGATAGTATGGGAGCGATGGAACGGCTACGAAGCGCGATCGACACATCGTGTTCGATGATCTCGTGACGATACGATTCGCCGTGGTGCACGGCGCCGGGCTGGCCGCCGGTACTTTCCCTCGCCGAAAATTAACTAGGTGTCCAAAATTTTATTTTTTTTACCTTGGGGGAGTTGTCATTTACGGACGTAACATTCGGAGCATCTTCCATCCCAACTAGACGTTGGGACAGGGTCGTGTGTTTTGTCCGGATAGCCCACGAACTGCTTTTTGCCGAGGCATATGTTTTGGTTCGAAGTTTGCACTTTCCAATCGCACGCGATTCCCTAAGACAACAAGACGGATCGCGGGATGCGGAGACAAACTGGGTCAACGGTCTCATCCTTTTCTCTTGTCTCTTGTCCCTTCTCCTTCTCCTCCTTTTATGCCGTGCATTTTCTTCATCGAAAAGGCCCACCTGACTTGACCCGGCCCGGAGAATCAGTTAAACCATCTTTTGGGGCATGGCAATATTTAGATCCGGAGCCGGAGCCGGATCCGGCCTAGCCCGCCCCGTTTCGATCGAGTATGCCGGGTGTCGAACCTGTCCTTTCTGGAGGTGATTAGTTTCGGAGTGGAGTTGGTTACCAGCTCTCGATCCAGAAGAATCGGAGGTGGGAGCCAAACTGGGTCGGTTCTTCCCGAAATCGATCCAATGAACTGGCCGTCTTTTCTTTTCAGGGGAAAGAGCTTAGAAAGTTACGTAATGCTAAAAAATTTGCATCTCCTAACACACGAAAGTCTTTGCCAAGCGATTGTGTGAGTTTTTATTGGCATTAAATGCGAATGATTTAAATCTCGACAGATGCAAGACTTTTTTTTTTTCCTAATGAAATAATATGCCGCGGAACAAAACAAGATGCTGCAAAAATCGGTTCGATATCGAGTTGAGGATTGATTTCGAGAAGAACTGCATTTCCAGTCTCGGAACCAAGAACCAAACCTGTCCAGGCTAGTTCCCTTATCCAGGACCCGAACCAGTTCTCCCCCGAAACCGACTCGGAATCCAACCGAAGGGGCCGATTTCGGCTAGTTCTTCCTACTTAAACCGGACCCGGTGCTCGCCCCCGTAGCTAAATTCAAATCAAACCAACGAAAACGAGGAGGCCCAGAAAAACAAAGGCCCAAGTTCGAAGCCAATAAAGCAAGGGCCCAGTGGGCCCGCACCGGGAGGGATCAGATCGCCACAACGGTCATTGGGCCCACGGCCCGCAAAAGAAGCTCTACGAACCACACAAAATATCAACAAAAAGCCGCGAAGACCCCCGCTGCTTCCCTTCTCTCTCTCTCTCTCTCTTCTGCACTTATCCGCTGAGCTCCATTTGCTTCACCGAACGAACGAACGAACGAACCAGTGATGATGATAACGTGACCGAGCAACCATTTCTGCTGCTGCTTCTTCTTCTTCTTCTTCTTCTTCTTCGTCGTCGTCGTCGGAAAGAGCTCTCGATCACCGGACGATCACGCATGAGACTCGAAGCGGGGGCTCATCACCACCGTCGTCTGTCCAGCGAAGCTCGATGACCGACATGGTTTCTGCCCCCGGCGGCAACGCGCTGCGGCACGTCCGCCTCCCGCGGAGCCCTGTCCTGCCCCGTTTCTTCTCGCCTCTGGCGATGCCCCCCTTCTCGCTCCACAGGGCGGCGCCGCCGCCGCCCGTCCGCGCGCTGTGGACCGGATCCGGGGGCGGCGGCGGCAGAGTCCGGAGCCGGGAGGCGCTGGGCTCGGACGTCGTGCGGAGGCCGATTGTGTCGCCGGCGAAGGATTTGACGGGGGATTCGGTGGGGGACGAGGCGTCCGGAGGAGCGGAGAAGGCTGATTTGAGCGGCAGAGGAGGCGAAGACAGTGAAGAGGAAGTGGAGGAGGAGGAGGAGGAATGGGTTGATTGGGAGGATAAGATATTGGAGGACACCGTGCCTCTGGTTGGCTTTGTGAGGATGATTCTGCACTCTGGAAGGTGAGGCCTCACGTCTTTCGGTGAATCTGTGACTTGGAGATGTTAGTAAATGCATCCTGCCTAGTTGGTTGGGATAAGCCGAAATAGATGATATCTGCTTGCACTACACTTTTGTGTTAGGTGGCTCTTTTGCTTGCTTAAGTTAGTCTTGCGAAACCCTTTTACTGGAAAGGGACGCGTCGGGCGGTGTTATGTAGAGCCGTACGCTGCGAGAGGATTGTGTAGTGGCTGGCTGATTCCACCCTGTAGGAAGCTTTACTTGTTGCAATGTCGGTTTTGTCGTGGTGTTAAAATCGACATGTTGTGTTTGTTCAATCGTTGGAAGATGGAAATGCCTGAAAGTTTCTTCAATCTGGTCAAGTGGAGATATATGATCAAAACTTAAAAGCTCTGTGCACAGAATGTTATGGTTGTACTCAGAGTAATCGAGAAACAGCCATGGAATTTCTTTTATTTGCGCAAGTATTGCCAGTCGTCCATCCTCCAGCTATCTTTCTATCTACCTCGCTATCCTCACGTACTCACATGCGTGTAGATACATGTTGGCATGTGCGGATGGACTCCGTCTTATATTTCTACATTCATACAGACATACAAAGTATTTATTGCCCTGCACTAATGTGTGTGTTTAGAGTCTTTAGACCTGTGCACGTACTACATATCTTCAGATTTGTGCAATTGTAGCTTGCGACTATTCAACTTTATGTCAACTTTGGATGACTTAACTTTGTCTTTATCTTGACTGCTACTAAATCTTCAGAATCCGCATGCCTTTACAGTTGTATGTAATATAGGCTTCGCCATTAAGGCATTCATGGGCCGTTATCATTCAAGGGAAATGTGCAACTCCATTTGTGTTACGAAAGAGTTCAGAGATGCTTAATATATCATTAGGATTCCATGTTTAGTGCCCATACTGGTCTCCGTTTTCTTTCTGGTGAGAAAGGGGCACAAATTTAGGACTGTTATTGATCTGGACCCATTATTGAGTGTCAGTTCTCTATTACAAATTACAGTAACGCTTTGGTATATCTGCGATCAAGCCTTCGTCCTTGAGATCCTGGCTATCTAAAGTTAGGTAAGAGATGAGTGTTGTATTTATTTACCCTTCATCCTCATTACATAGTCGAATGCTTGTGCAACCTTTTTTCAGTCCACCAACTAATCTTTTGATTTTCAAATCTGAACTTGCGGCAGTCTAGGTTCTCTCTGTCCTTCCAGTTCCTTCTTTACCCTAACATAATTGCTCATTTCTGGCACATGAGCACCACAAGTGCCCTGGAAAGCAGAATAACAACGTTAATTCTTAACTTTATACAGTTCATAATGCATACTTAATGTTCTGTGATAGCTGTAGGTATGTCAAAACCTTGTAATATGAAGGTTCCCTTGATCCTGTCTTCAGAGATCTGTTTACATTTTCAATTATCAACTTCATGGACAAGAGTCATTGGACAAGAAAAACCTTCATGGACAAGACAGAATGTAATAGGATGCTTGCTTGTATCTGTATGTCAATTTGTAAAAGCATGATCGTACCTTGGGTGCTAATTCCTGAGTTATTTCATGTGATGATGCTTGTCTAAGTAGTAAGAGTCCATGGCAAGCTGATCGCTATTATTGGACATAAATTTATGGGTTTGCAGAATGTTTGCTGCTGCACGTTCTGTCTTTTTCGCCAATCCATCAATTGCACTGCTCACATTTAACCATTTCAGCTGCTTTTGGTCCTATATTTAAGAAATATTTGGACTCTTAGAGCATGTTAGATGATTTAGACATTTTTTAGAAAGAAGATAGCAATAGAACTGTCTGAAAGTCCCAAAGTAGAAATGCACTGGATTCTTATTGGTACTAACAAAGGTGGAATTTGTTATCTTGTTGTAGATATCAAAGTGGAGATCGATTTAGTCCAGAACATGAGACAACCATTCTTGAGAAGTTGCTTCCCTATCATCCTGAGTTTGAAAAGAAGATCGGTTGTGGAATTGATTATATCACGGTATCTTCCTCCGTTCTCCTTCTCTTTTTTCAAGCAAAGCAACTTATGTATTGAATATCACGAGTAGTGACATTAATGGAAGATTCGCTTTCTGTGTTGCTTTCATCATCCTGATATATATGTCCTGTGAAGGATGCATTGCCTGATGAGGATGTAGATGATATCCCATTCAGTATCGTGAGAGAGAATATTCATGTTAAAGCTCAATGAAGCTCTACATTCTTGCTTCAAAATGCTTGGAACTGAGGAAAGTAGCAGTGTTGCTTAGAGCTTTAGTCTACCTGTAGTTATAAGGCTTTACTGTTTGATCTAAGCAGATTCTTGAGCCGTTATTCATGGGGTTGGAAAAGAGTAGAAAAGTGTGATCTCTCTACTAAATACATAGAAGCGTATCCTCTTTGCATATTCTTTGACCTTATCCTTTGTGAAACCTTGAGTTTCTTCTTTTGCCACAATTGCTGGTCACCCGAAAGAAGGCAATTACTGTTGTTTTGGATGGGTTTTCTAATTTTCTTGTCTATTGATTTCACGGTACAATTGATAGTTATTTTGGTTACATTATATCACACTCCTTGAAGTCCTGAATCCTGCTTATAAAGAATTGTACTTACATATAATAAGAATTGTACTTGCTGGAAGTTGATCTCTCTGTCTTCACACCTCAATTGAGTGGAGTTCGATATGTTCGATTTGTTTGTGGATCATGTTGCATCATATTGCAAGAATTTGAATACTCATGCATGCTCGCCTTTTACTTAGACTTTTGTTTATTTTGTGTCATGTTAACAGGTCGGGTACCATCCTGATTTTCAAAGCTCAAGGTGCTTGTTCATAGTCCGCAAGGATGGGGAGTTAGTTGACTTTTCTTATTGGAAGTGTATAAAAGGCCTCATCAGGAAGAAGTATCCTTTATATGCAGACAGCTTCATTCTTAGGCATTTTCGACGGCGAAGGCAAACTGATGGACGGTAGCATTTATCTCATTCGGCTTGTAACTTACTCAAAAAAAAGAAGGAAAGAAAGTAACAGCTTCCATCTTCATATGCTGAGGAATTCATTCAGTCTTATTGTTATCTCTCTTCTGCTATAATCTATCCCTACTGTGGGTAGAGGTTAGAAGGTTAAGATTTATTGTAATATTATTGTGAATTTGGTTCAATTGTCAGAGGTTGCCGATCCTTTGTCGGTGAGCTGATTTTACCTAATGCGTTATGGCCTATAGGAGGTATACTAAGATGCATTGTAAGTTTGCTCATCATACCTGGTAATCTTTTGAGAACAGTTCGCATAATTTAGTCTTGTACAGACGTCTTTATGCAATGCACACATGAGATTTTTCGTTCATCAGTCTGTCCTTGGAAGCAAATGATTGTGAAAGTTCTCCAGTATCTTGTTCTGCTATTCATAAGTATACTAAAAAACATCTCATCTCGTGTACGATAATCGGTACATACGACCTGATATTTCAGTCAAGCTCACCTTCCTCATATAATACTTGGGAGCTACGGAGTCTGGTCGAGTCAAGCTGACATGGCCTTGAGGGCGAATGAGCAGACGTTTCTGGAATAGCGCTGCCGATCATTGTAAAGAATATCGAGAACCGGCTTTCTATGTATGCGGGGACTCTCAAACATGGAATGCTGATGCCCCCTTATCAGCCCAAACTGCACTCATGATGTTCGGTTCGTACCGTAACAAAGATGAGTTGGAGTTGTGAAAGTTCGTGCTTTGGTATTGTGTGGTTTATGGGAGTTACACGGGCGAAAATAAAAGGATGGCATGATTAGAGTTGTAGAGGGAGGTGGCCTTGATGAAATCTATAGATCTAGAGGTTTGAGTGCATGGAAAACTACCAAACCAACGGATAGGACACGATGTCCGGTGAAAAGAGCAATCAGAAAGCTATATCGGAAGTAAGAAAGGAGGTTGGGATAAGGCTGATGTGGTAATATGACACGATCGGACACGTTTAGGGAAGTGGATATTCACGAACCTGGAAGTGAATCGAAAATAATCAAACTCAAACTACATTATTTTACGGTACGCCTGATAAGCATAGGCTCACGCTATTTTCACACCCTAAATGGCTATTATGCTTCCTAACTCATCAAGTTCACGAAAATAACTAATCGATCAAAATCACAAATGGAAAGAGAGAAAGTTGCTATTTTTTGGAAATGCAAAAGTCACACACCGTTGTAAAAATACAATGCCGTCCTATTAGTCAAAACAATGATAATTTTGTTCCACCACCTTATGTTATTTTCCGTTCGAGTGTTTACAAACTTAATTTCCTTTGAATTTTGTTGTTAACTTTAGTTAATGAACATATCTTAAATATAGAGTATGATTATAAAGAGTTCACAGCTTCCACCGAAGTATCCCCTAAAAAAGCTTGGAAAGGAGTTATTAGAGATTGAACTCTAGAGAGATATTGTAAATAAATGCCCTATATTAATATTATTTTAAATTAGAATCTTGACCATCAATTTTATTAAAATACTTGAATCTTATACGACTCTCGTAAAAAAAAGAGGACGAACATGCAAACTTCTTTGGTTTGAATATAAAAGAAGAAGAAACAGCAGTTTAGGAAATGTTGATAAAATTCATTAGATAGATTGATCTATATACCCTTATCTCAATCTCAGCTTTAATGAGGTCCCAATGACTTAATGGGGGCTATTTTGGATCATTTAAATTTTAGGATGTATCTAAAGTTATCTAGGGGTTAAAATAACGTGAGCCTAAATATAAATGACACACGACAAAAAGATTTTGTCATATTTGGTATAAAGGTTTATACGGGATCGATATGCCTTTTTTCTTCTTTCTCTATTTTTGGGAGAAAGTTAGGGACCTATATTCATAATCACATATTAAGATGGTGATTGATCAGTTGTGTTTGTACATCACACGAATATTAACTACTACTGTCTCTGCTTAATTTCTAATGTCCATACATTTAGGTTTATACGTGAAGTGTGGATATGTGCAGAGTGCTTAAAAATCACTAGTCATGATAGGCAAACATTAAATTTATTGTACATTACCATCTTAATACATTTTCTTGAATGTACATCTCCATCTTTGTTGATAATCACATATAGTACTCTACATCAACAATTCATGAAGAATATCCTCACCTTATATAAATTACCATCCTTGCTAACAATCCCATTAATCTCTGTTCTTCTTTTATCTCAATGACTCCAATCTCAAATTGTCTATTCAGTGTCTAAATTATGACACGGTCAAAAGCAAAATGTCTGTATGATAGACCATCTGAATCAAACTCTTTCGTCTATAAATTGGGTTGCAGATTCATCGACTCAACGCATTGACCATTAAGCTAAATGTTTAGTTTTTGGATTCCTATTGGCAACATTGCAGGTCTCCGGTAAGAAAACCTTCTGTTTGATTCAAAAGAAGAAAGTATATTTCAGAAGATGAACTCATTGCATTGACCGTTAAGCTAAATGTTTACTTCAAAATGTACCACTTGACAATATTAATTGCAGAACCCAAAGGTTCAAGAGTTCAGGTTTCTATTCTCTCTCACTCCACCCATACAGAATTCCTCAATAGCATACAGTACAAGTAACTAAATTTATATCGAAGGAACATCAGTTTGCCCTCTTAGACAAATATTATTGTAAAAGTTACTGTCATGACCATAAAAGACCTAATACAACTATTTTTTTCCCATTTACTATTACTTCGGTACATAGACTATGGTCCTGATCGGTTGAGTCTAGCTTCCTTCATAGGAGGCTTAGGAGCAAGTCGAGTCAAATTGACATAATCTTGAGGAGAATGGGCAGACACTCCTGGAAGGACAATGCCGAGCATCCTAAACAGCACTAAGAACCAGCTCTCTCGGTATGTTTTGCCATTCACACATGGCATGATGAAGCCCCTTATCAGCTCCCAAATCGCGATCAAGATGTTAGGTATGAACCATAACCATGGTGAGCAGTTTTTGTTCGGCTCCTCAGGTAACAACTGAATTCAATTGCCATGTAATTAGGAGAGTGTGAGAGCCAAATATACAAGGTGCAATATTTAAACATGATTGCAGTATTGCATGCAGCCCTCCTTTTCCTACTTATCCATCCTTTCAGTCCTTTAAGCCTGTAACTTATATGCACAACACAGTTTGGTGCATTGCAATTATAATATGGATTAGTTACAGTATAAAAGTTCAAACTATCAAATCAAAGATAGGTTTCTTGTTCAACTATGCTGACACTATCATGAGGCTTGAAGCAGATGCTGTTGAGAGAGAGAGAGAGAGAGAGAGAGAGAGAGAGAGAGAGAGAGAGAGATGGTGATACCTTCCCCTTGTACAAGCAGTTGTAGTAGTAGCAATAACCGAAGTGCTTGAACCCAAAGACCTTGTTATCACAAGGCAGCCTAGGAACAATGTCGCTTGAATAGACATACCTACAGTACTTCGCCTCACGACGAACCTTCTTTATCATGTACTCCCCAAATTTCTCATCCCCCACCCTCGGTTGCCCAAATGTGTACACTCCTTCCAACTTCTCCAGAATTGCATCCTCCTCGAGCATGCACAACGCCCCCACAAATAGTATGGCAAGTGCCCCTCCCAAACTATGCCCCGTTACTATGAGCTTTGTCCCTCCCTCCAATCGATTCCTTAGCATTTCCTTCATCTTATAATAAGCATAGCTTTTGCCTTCTGCGGCTACCTCATCGATCTCCTTGAGCCATCCTCGGTCCTCTTGTAGGCCCAAGGCTTTCATGAAGCCGCCGTGGATCCTCACCCTCCCCTCTTCTCCTTTGATTTTGAGCTCGTACCAAGAGAGATCGATGTCCGTGCACCATGCGTCTGCATCAAAAGGGCGGGTACCCCTAAATGCCACCACAATCAGGTCTCGGTCTTTGAACATGATGGCTCGAGTTGAGGGTTGCTCCTGGTTGTGAGAGTTAGTAGGACCACTGTTAACTGTTATAAAAGTTTAAGTTATTAGACAAAAATGTGATTTAATATCTAAATATTTTAACAAGTCTACAAGACAATGCAAGAATTTATGTTGTTTGTAAGAAGAGCTTGTACTTTTGTAAGCTTATCATTTAGGCTTCTTGAATGAAGATTATGTGGTGACAACATATATTCAATGAATAGTACATTATCTTTGACCTGTTAGATTTTCCAAAAAACTATAAGAAATTGGGGTTTGCTATTTCTCAGCAAATTATTAGATATCACGAAAATATCATTTATTTCTCTTGCGTGTTATATGAACCCACTGATATGTCAGAGAAAATCCTCTATTTAGGACAGCGCTCCCTTCAGTGTCTCGACAAATCTCAACCGTCAACCAAAATCTCATTTGCACGAATCAATAGAAGAAATTTGTCAAAATACCAATGGAGCATCATACGGAATTGAGGATCCACGAGTATGCGTAAAACTTCAGGGTATCAATGGCCTCCCAACGCACACTTCTCTCTAATGAAATAGGTAAATCCTATTTATACATGGTTAATACTGCTTCTCATCAAGAGTGCGATATAAACCAACAATAGTCAATGTTTATATATTATAAGTTGGTCCATATGAGCTCGGGATCAAAGTCATATTGCTTGATACATAAGTATAATCCAATTTAACTAAATAAGATTTAATCTGTGATTTTTGTGGTTGTCCTTAAATTGTTACTCTGTGTGAATGATTAGCGAGTATAAGATCACGAAAATTGCACAGCATAATTCATATATTCTTAATTAAGCAAGCAACTAAGTTTAAAACCAAATTTCATCGATAAAATGTATACATACATATCAGGAAGATATAATGCTTACCGATGTCAAAGTCCCGACAAAGCAAGTATTCCATCTAAAGCCATAAAAAATGAGAAGAAAAAAGAAAAAAAAGAAGAGAGAAAAAAATTAGTTCTCGTCATCATCAAGCACAAAGGAATGATTTAATTAAGCTAGATTAGCATGAGATGAGATGACTAAGCAGGTCAATGGATAGTTGTTAAATCATCGTGCTGCAACCATGTTTCATTTTTTTTTTATAAGTGCAATCGAATCCTAAAACTTTCAAAAAGTGCAATCAAGTCCTAAAATTTGTCAAATTGGTGCAATCAAGTCTTCCGTTGGTTACATTTTTTGAAAGTTTTAGGACTTGATTACATTTTTGTGATAAATTTTAGGACTCGATTATACTTTCTGAAAGTTTTAGGACTTGATTGTACTTTCGTGATAAATTTTAGGACCTGATTACATTTTTCGAAAGTTTTAGGACTCGATCGCATTTTCATGACAAGTTTTAAGAATTTCAGTGCCCTTATTTTTTTTTTTATGACGAGAATTGATGTATTAGAATTATATGCTCATCTTTCAATGTTATATCAAGGGTCAGTGAGAGACGAACCTTCCAAAGACCTTGGATGGTGGTTTCCACAAATGAACGATTCTCGTACGACAATTTAGCGGCCATCATGGACAAGTATGCATCATACTCTCCGTCTCCATGCGTCAGGTGGCTGTCAAGTTCCACTCTCGGGTCCAAATTCCCTACCGCTGAATAAAAAGTTGGCGAGTCTCTCTGCGGCCACGCCACGTTTCCTGCATTATTTGCATACGTGATCCTCGTGTTCTTCTTGTGCAAAGTTTGACGCTTGGTATGGTTTTTATGCAGTTTAACTTCTCTATTTTCACTTTCGAACACCTTGTCACCAAGAAGATGGCTCCATGGAAGATGTCGTCAAAAAGTTTCCACCTTTGTACACTGAAGGAGCCATTTTTAACTTTTTTTTTTTGCAGAAATTTAGGTTCTGTTTGTTTCGCAAAAGAAATTTTCAGAAAAATATTTTCCTCATTTTCCAGTGTTTCAATCGCTCGGGAAAATGAATCGATGGAACATATTTTCTTAGTCAACGGAAAATGTTTTCCTACCAAAACTTAAATTCAGGAAAATGATAAAGTATCGGCACTTGCACCAGAATTCTATGCTTGGGCACGGGAATCCCAATGCTCGTTCTCGGGCCCTTGGTAGTGGGGTCGGTTCCTTGGCGCTCAAGGCTAGGTCCATTGAGGCTGAGCCCGGAAGCCCGGTTCCAATGAACCTGGGCTCAGGACACCGGTGCCTGTGCTTGGGACGCCTGGCTTGGTAATATCGAGGCTGGGCCTGGGTCCATCGAGGCAGAGCCCGGAAATCCAGCTCCGATGAAATCGGGCTCAGGACACCGGTGCCCAACTGCCCGTGCTCGGGACACTAGGCTCGGTCATATCAAGGCCAAGCCCGGGTCCATCGAAGCCAAGCCCCGAACCCTAGTGCCCATGCTCAATTCCCCAACTTCCGAGCTCGAGTGCATCAAGTCCTGGCCCGGGATTTCCGCGCCCGTGCCCACGCCTAGTTCCCCTGTGCCTGCACCCTGATCCATCGATGCCGGGCTTGGGGCCCAGCCTTGATGGAGTCTGGCATGGGCGCCAAGGTCCTAGGCCCGACCTTGATGGACCCAGGTCAGGGCGCAGGGGACTGGGTCCTAGGCACCGGGTTTGGAGCTTGGCCTTGTTGGACCCGAGCGTAGGCACCGGTATCGGAGTCACGGGGCCTGCCTTGATTAACTCAAGCTCAAGCGTCAGGGTCCTACACCCGACCTATATAAACTAGGGCTGGGGCGCCAAGGAGTTGAGCATGGGCACCAAGTTCTTGGGCTCGATATTAGTGGATCCAAGACCAGTGTCCGTGCTAGTGCCTGGGAGTCGGGGATCTGGGCTTGAGATCGCAATGCTCATGCCAGGTTCCTTGGCTATTTGTATGCAAGCCACTAGCATATGAATAGGGCCTGTCTATTTAGGAAAATCAAATGAGATTTTTCTTACCAAACAAATATTTTCCACTTTATTTTCAGGTTTCAACCAAACATTAGAAAAATATTGTCATTTTCGTCAAAAATGACTTCACGAAAAATATTTTCCAAAAATGTTACATTTTTCGAGAAACAAATGGAACCTTAATCCATGGTGATGAGGTTGACCGAATTAATCACAGTACGGGACAGATAGCTGGAGTGTGTAGGACTACATAGATTAAACCACAAGAATATTGAGGATATACATGCATGTATGCGTGCATTATCAGTTGTTGCCTATGTTTATAGCTATGGGAAGAAGCACACGAAACCTTTGAGAGCTTTGGTGATGAGCTTGAGAAATCCTCCGTTGGTCGACGGGAGATTAAGACAGGTCTCCAACTTTTCCCCGATGCATTCTAATACTCCCTTGAACGAGTATAGGAGTTTCTGAGCGACAATGGAGAGGAAGATGATCCATCTATGCCCAAACTCCCTGAGCTTGTTCTTGTAGTTTTCCGGGCATTGGATGTATTTTCTCTCGCACACGTTGTCAGAAAACAGGAGGCGAGCGAGGTCGAGAAAGCCTGCCTCTTTATGATTAAGTTCAAGGAAGTCGCAATCCTTCTCATCATCTCCCATGTATGGCTTTGAAAGCAAAGAACATGAAGGTGGAGTGTACATGGATGTGGGAAGTTATTAAAATATCAATGGTCTTGAAGCACTTAAGTCTATGTGTGCACAATGCAAATGGAAACGCTCCGATATATATAGGAAGAGACTCACGTGACAGATGAAATGAAGAACATTAGAAGTGAGTGGGAATATATGGATTTCATCATATCCAACGGTTTAGATTGTGCTTGGCCTACCGAACAATTTCGGGGCGTGTATCACACGTTGTACGCACTACTTTACGTGTGCTAATAAAAGATGTGTGCCCTACCTCGTGTAATGTGATTTTCTCCTTTTCTGGTAAGACATTGCATGTGTAGTAACACTAGGCATAAATTCCAATTGCGCAGGAAAGGTGGGAATTCGTTCGCCTCGGGGATGAGATCCACACAGGAAAATTCCTGATTGGTGGCTCTTGTTTAGGACATCTGGAGACTCTTTGCTACTTTAATCTAAATCGAGATGTTCTGCTTTTTATCCCAAAAGTGAACTTTGCTTGCTTGATTGTGCCAAGACATCCATGCGCCCACCTCTCTCTCTCTTCTCAAACTTTTTGTGAACATATCGTGTTGTGCCATCATTTAAATATTGTTTAAACAGGAAAAAATCCAATCACCTAATAAACCCTATAACTTGAGATATTCACGGCAAAGCAGGACGTGAAAATCGTGATGTCTTGATGATGAGCTCAAGTGTAGGGAGAGAGAGAGAGAGAGACCCAAGATTCTGAAGGCGTAGCGTTGCTTGATCTGGCAAAGCAACTGCAAATTTGAGCAAAAGCCGAGGAGGTTGTAGTGCTTTTCATTGCTTGTGGTCAACGATGATAAAATCTTCTCGATAGCTTCGGGTTGTAGTATGGTCCTACCACCGACGGGCGTCGGTACCTGCCGCGCCATTTGAAAGCTCACATTTAGCTTGAAATCTCACATCTAGAATTAGGGCGCCAACGATAATCATTTTATTCCTAGAAACAATTTAAGGTTAGAAATATATTTTTCTATGTCTATTCTCTAGACGAGTTTCTGAGTAGAGAAACGTATTTGATAATGACACAAAATTTCTTGTCCCGGGACAAAAATTCCTTTGATAACAATATAAAATTTCTATTTCCTGAAACAGAAATTTGTGGAATCTCCGACATGTTATGATTGTTTTCCATTTTATTGGCAATACTTTCACTAAGCATGTTTATCTCGGTTCCCTTCTCGGTCTATGTATCATCTGTAACGTCATCTTGTGCAGGTCCAAACAGGTGCTCCGGATCTCCATATAGGAAAAAGTTCTTATCCCTCATGTCTTGATCATAAATGTAATTATGAATAGCATATGTAATTACAACATGTGCTTGCTTTCGAATTGTAAATGAAGGCATGTATCTCAAAATGAAGAAGCGAATTTTTAATGACTCGAATGATCTCTTAATAAGATCCCTTAGTGAAAAATGCCAATAGTTGAACAATTCTACTGTAGTCTGGTTTGAACACCCTTTTGGGTTATGGCTTTGAGGAGGCATTCTTATCCTTCAACCCCTTCAACAACCCGTCGTTCTTGATTGCTGAATCAACTTGTTCTTGTGCCTCTTGTTCTTCTTCTTCTTCCATGTCAGCGAAAGTAGGGTGAGTGAGGATGCTATCGAGCAACTAAGTCCCTCTTAGGGCATTGGTGAGTGGCAAGTGACCCTCATGAGTGTCCTCCTTTAGCTCCCACATGAACTTCGTTGGGAATGACCTGTAATTGTTCTACTCAACCTCTGTGTCTAGCTTCTTCATCCACCTGACCTTGATGAAGAACCTCGTGAAGCCCCTCTTGACCTTGTCTCACAACCTTTTTTGGATGATGTATCCAAAGCGATTGTTGCTATGGCAACTGTTATATTTCGTCGGTCCGTCCATGGTGAGTGTGTCCAAGGGACACCATTTACTCTAATTATAAGTGTGTCTGAGAGACACCTTTTGAAGAGGCACAAGGGGAGTTTCTTAAGGGAAGTTAAAATAACTTCCTCAGAATGAACATCGAACAAGAGATAAGAAAATGTTGAAGAATCATAACTCTCTCTCTCCTCTCTTCATCAAAGAACGACGCATAAGGATTCCATATCTACTTCGAGAAGACAATCGGCATTAACACTGTAGAATGAGAATACTTTCCTTGTGATTGTATTTGGACCAACGTGAAGTAGATTCGTTCATCGTTTGCTGGTGATTCAACATACGATCCTGGAAAATTGGTTTGGAGTGCATTGAACAGGTTAGTCGATTCTCCTGACACTCGCTTCCTACATTGGTATCAGAGCCTCGGTTATGATCTCTGTCTTGTTTTTCCGTTGAATTTTTTCGCTTGTTGTTTGATACGGGGATCGAGAGAATTCATATCGTCTAGATGTTCATTGCTCGGAAATTGCAACATGAATCATCGAAAACGAGATCGGACGTGATGAATGGGTTTGGAGGATGAACGCCGTTCTGTTTGACCCTGTATCGAATATTTATTTTCATTAAAAATGAGATATTATTATATACAGTTGAAGAACTCGTCGAGACGAGCAAAACGGTGGGTCGAACGCCGCCGGAAGACGCTGGACGCGCCCACACGCACGGCTAGAAGCCGCGGCGCGTGGGAGCCACGCGCCCAAAGCGCTGGCACTGCCAGCACGTGAATGGCACGCGCACGTCGGCCAAACGTCGCGTGCTGACGTCATCGATGACATCAGCAAAACTATCGGTAACGACATGCTGACGTCATTGATGGCGTCATCTCGCCGGCGACAACCCTCCGACAACCAGCCGACGGCGAGGCGACCCAACCCGGCCGGCGACCCGACCCGAACGGTGACCCGACCCGATGACCCGACCCGTGATCGGTCAACGGTCAACCGGTCGGACCGGTCAACGGTCGAACAGGTTGGACCGGTCTGACCGGCTCAGAAGTCCGTATTGGGCAGGTGTATGCGCTACACGCGCCGCGCACTTAGGCAGCGCGTGTGGGCGCGTGGAATCTCTGATTGGAGCGTGGTTGGTACGGTTGTGTTCGTATTCAAATTCTCTACATTGTGGTATAGTTATTTTATATGTTTGAGGCCTTTAAAGGTAAAAAAAATGGGTACGAAATCCTAAATAGGCGTATTTTTGGGGTATATTTACATGGTTTATTCCTTTTAACCTGTATTTCACTATGGTTCTAGAAATAAAGTAGCTTGCCTACGTGAAAATAACCACATATATGTTGTGTAGAGCTTGGTTCGGTGATAGCATGTATATGGTTTGACGTGCTTGCAATTTCCTAATTTTGAGCATACTAAAACAATAGCTGGAGATCTTTATATCTCAAATTCCACATATGATTGTATTTGATGTAATGAATTATTTGTTAGTTGGTGATCATTACGTGAGGTCACGTAATCATCTTTTCTAGTGAGAGTTCGTAGGTTGGTAGAATTCAAAGGAGTTCTCACCTAGAACTTAAAATTTGCGCAAATTAAACAAGTTAATGATAATAGAACAATTGTACGTCGAAACTGATTGGGAACATAGTGAACTTTCGTTTTGATATCTTTTGTTGAATTATCATTAATTTATTTTGTCTTTGCTGCAAATTAAAATGTGTGTTTATGTGGAATATGTGCTAGTATTCATTTTGTGTTTATTATATCAATGTGTAACAGAAATTGATTATGGCTTCGACATCCAAGACCATTGTGGCTGACCTCAACAAGGGTGAGAAGCTGAACGGTGACAATTATGATATTTGGCACCGAAAAGTTCAGTATATCCTTGAGGAGCAAGAAGTTTTGGAAACCCTCAACCACACCATGGATGAACCTAAGCATGGAACTTCTGCTCAACACAGAAGAGATCACGAAACTTATCAACCTTGGAAAAAGAAAAAATAGCATTGCTCGCATCACGTTGCTAAGTTGTATGCAAGATGATCTCATGTGTGAGTTTGAAAGTTATGACAAAGCTCAAGCAATGTGGGTTGTCTTGAAAGATAAGTTTGGGGGTACATCTGCCACTAAATTGAGGAGGCTCACGATTAAATTTGACACATACCGGAAGCGCTTAAATCTATCTATGAGGCAGCATCTTCGGGAGATGTCAAACATGATACGTGAGCTAAAGTCGGCAGGTCATACCTTAACTGACGAACAGCAAGTTCAGGCTGTTATAAGGTCTCTTCCTAACAGCTGGGAACATATGAAAATCAATATGACGCACAATGAGAATATCGTCACTTTTGACGATATTGCGCGTTATTTGGAATTAGAAGATGAGCACCTAGAGGCTGCAAAATCCTCTACCCATACTTATGTTGCTGAATCAGGTTCGGGCAAAGCTTCGAACTTTAAGCGCAAGAGGAACCATAAATTCAACAACAAAGGAAAAGAGACTGATCAGGCTCCCAAGAAAGCCAAGACTTTTCGACACAAGAAGCGGGAAGAAGGACAAGGCCAAGATGATGTGCTACAATTGTGGTAAATTGTGTCACTTCTCTCGTAAATGCACTGAGCCGAAAAAGGTACCACATTACTCCATTATTTTGAGTAATGCTTTTGTTTCTAGTACTGTAATGCTTACTGAATCTCATCCAATGTGAACTGTAGACTCAGGAGCAACAGATCACGTAGCTAGAGATCGAGGAGCATTTGTGGAGTATCGTCGGATATAGCCTGGAAGAAAATGGATATATGTTGGAAATAACTCGAGAGTTGAAGTGAAGAGTATCGGCACATGTAAATTAACCTTTCATGGTGATCGAAACCTATTCCTACATGATGTCTTCTATGCTCCAGATATTCGGCGAAACTTGGTCTCTGTAGTTGTTCTTCTTGACTTAGGTTATGTATTTAATTTTCATGGTGATTGTGTTGACATTTTGTTTAAAACGGTTTACTACGGTTCTGGTTATGTATTGAATGGTTTTATGATGTTAGACATTGACTATGATGTGTACAAAGTTAATGTTGATGGTTGTTTTTCTTTAATTGCATATTATAGAAATGTGGAGATTAATGCAAGTACTTGGCATGCTAGACTGGGTCACATTGGGTTACAAAGAATGAAACGATTAGCAA